ACGCCTTCTCGTAGCCTTATAGCGCCCGCTTATATATAGCCTCGGCCTCCTTAAGACGCCCTTAGCTCTTAAAGAGGGAGCCGAGATTGTTAAGTATATTGAGCGTCGACGTATACTCCGGTCCCTACGCTTTCTCGAAGCCTTATAGCGCCCGCTTATATATAGCCTCGGCCTCCTTAAGCCGCCCTTAGTCTGCGTAGAGATTTACGAGATTATTAACTGTATTAAGCGTCGACGTATACTCTAGTCCCTACGCCTTCTCGTAGCCTTATAGCGCCCGCTTATATATAGCCTCGGCCTCCTTAAGCCGCCCTTAGTCCGCGTAGAGGAGACCGAGATTATTGACTATATTAAGCGTCGACGTATGCTCTAGTCCCCACGCTTTCTCGAAGCCTTGCAGCGCCCGCTTATATATGGCCTCGGCCTCCTTAAGCCGCCCTTGGTCCTTGCAGAGGATTCCAAGCTTTTCTGATATAAATGCATTGCCTTCGTCGTTATCCAATCTGTCCAGCAATTGAAGGCATCGGTCACCATGAAGCATTAGTCGGCGTTGAATCAACCAGAACTCTGGAACCGTCTCTCCCGGCACATATAGACTAGTGCACTTCATTGCCAGTGCTGCCAGCTCCTGCCTATTCGAATCGTTCAGTACGTGCATCATCCACGAGTGTACACAAGCGTGTACACTGTAGCCACTCGACTCAGATCCGTTTTGCACCCCTGCTGAATGTGCTTCCACGAGCCCGTGACTGCAGAGCACTCGCATGCCATGGTCAAAGGCAAGCCGGGTCTGCGTGAGATCTCGGAGCCACCTCGGCCCATTCTCTATTCGTCCTCGTCGTAGTAATTCGTACCATAAATCTTCGTTGCCAAAAAATGCCCATAGTCGCAGCAGCATCGCTGCCGATTAGTTCTGTTGGCGTATGCTCGCAAATGAGATGTTCCACGTCGAGTACATGGCACGATCCTCATATGTTAGGAGTTGTGGGCTAAGCATCTGCAACTGACCCCATGCGTCCGCGTAGTCTTGCAAATATTGTCCCCAAGATGTCGAGACTTCCATGAGGTATGTGCCAGCCGTCGAGAGGGCGAGCGGTAGACCGTCGAGTTTACGAGCAAGGGCTACCGCGGCAGCATCTATCATGCACCAGAACTTGTCAGGACGTACCATCATCGCCAAGGTCGAGGAATAGCTACGTACCGTCATGGGTTCCTTTACGACCCGATGTTGACTCCAGAATGCGAAGACTGTCTCCTATGTTGCGCAATTTCTGCAATTGCAGAAGCTCCCCGATCTGGACTGTTCCTCGCGTCGTCACAATAACCGCTCCATGGTCTACATCCGGGAAGTACTGGCGAATATCGTAGCCCTCTGGTGCTGCTTGATCCGCCTCGCCAGGTCGACTTAGGCCGCCATCGTCTCCGCCTGGCATTTCCTCGTTTTTTCCTCCCATCCTGGGGTGGTCGTAATTGTCGTAGACCAAAAGCCATCGGTCATTCCTCGGTTCATCCAGCCACCTCTTGACGGCAAGCGCTGCATCGTCATCTTTGTCCGACACAGCCGTCTGCATGTAGCTCAGTGTGGGGTGCTCTTGGAGGATCCTTCCGGCTGCATGCCGGAAGCTCTGGTTCAAGGACGTTTCATCTCTCGCGTTCAGCCAGATTGATGCGGAATAGTCATCTCGGTGCCGCTTCATGTATGCGATTGCGAGCTGCGTCTTGCCCATGCCCCCCAGACCGTGCACGACAACAGTGCGGCGCCCTGGCTGAATGTCCAGTACTTGGTTCATCCAGGTAAGCTCTTCGTCTCTAGCAACAAAGTAGCTTGTTGCTGTGGCTCCCGACAGGCTCGGAGACAGGGCAAATTGATTTATATTCCCTCGTGCTATGTGCATGCAAGGTCAATCCAAACTCAAGGACGACATGCTTAGGCTGCCCTACCATCATCTGCCCTTCTTTCAGTCGCCCAACGTTGTTGCACGCTGTCTGGGGCATCATTGACCATAAGCTGCAGGTGTTGCGACACCTTGACGTATGCGGCGTCCTGCCTTGATGGATACCGAACCATGGAGGTATGCGTCTTGTGGATCGCGATCGGCTCGGCGTGGACCTGTCCTGGCACGACGGCCGACGCCTTGGGAACCACCTCGATGATATTAGTACCTTCCATCATTTGTAACGGAGAAATGACGAACTATGATGCTGGGTCCCAAAAGGGTCGGAGTTGCGTACGTCTCGTACGCAAACTTAGTGACAAAGTCGTCGCTGATCGGTGCATATTGCCCTAGCTGCTGCTGCAAATACTCCGAGTGATGCTCGAGGTGCCTCAGCAGTCGATCATCGGCTGCCACGACAAGAGACGCGACGTTCGCTAGAATTCGCCCTAGCTCCACGCCGTTACCGCCTTGATGAGGAGTTCCCATGAACAAAATTCCGTATGTAGATAGTTTGATTGACCGAGGGTTGAGCGGGGCGTCCGCGCGAGCGGCAGCGGAGTGGATGAGAGCCTGAAGTGTATAGGTTAGCGAGGGTATCACATGTCCAATGACCTATCGACGTACGCCCTTGAGGACGATCCCGCCTAGGCTGTGGGCGACAAAGATGATCGGTCGACGAGTAGTCTAAAGACCCACGTCAGTCACAGCTCGAGGATGGTACCGGGAGATAACCTCACATCAGTGATCTCCCGCGCCAGGCACAGATCGGATACCAGGGTTGTTGCATGGTCGTACAGGTATTGCCAGTTCACCCCATTTGCGGCATGGGTGTTCGCGTCGTAGCCCCAGCAGAAGATGCGGGCTTGCGGGAGGTCCTCGGGAAGGAGGTGTCGGAGCCAGTGGACGCTGTTTTCCGCCGTCCATGTCTTCTCCCGGTGGCCGTTAAGGCCGTGTAGGGCCACGATACTACTATTGTGAGAAAGCACAGAGCAGAGACGTCGATAGAACATACTCGACGGTCGGATTATTCCCCTCGGAGACAACCTCTAGGCCTTGCGGGTGCTCCACGGCCTGACTTAGCGAGCGGGGCTCCCGAGATAGCGCCCGCTTTGTTCCAGCGACCAAGCGCGACAATCCAAATGAAGGCATCGCGTTTGATAGTGCAGCTATGTCCGTTGTTCGACGCTGCGTATTGATTCTACCTACTTCTGCTGGTCGAGCGTGTCGTTCGCGAGCAGAAGCCCCAGATTGTCGAGGCTGCGATCAGGCTGCGGCGCGGGCGATATTTCTCGTAACGGCTGAACGACCAGCCGACTGGATTATGATTTTTCCGTGAAGCAGCCATCGTCTTCGACGCGATCCCAGGTTTGCCAATGCCAACGTCACATCCGCATCCTCCACAGATGGCACCCCAACTGTCAAAGGTCCAGCGAACAGAGCTCGAAAACATCATCATCAGTAAGCTACATGGCGACGAAACTATGACCGACAAGGAAATAGCGACAATCGTCCCATGCTCCGCCCGTGCCATTCGAAGGGCTCGGGCAAAGATCCTGAAAAATGGCACAATTGATGGCGACAAAAAGACCGGTCGCCCGAGGAAAGTAACTGAGCATATGTGGCTAGCACTACAGAGTGATCTAGGGAACGAACCTTGCACAGGTCAACAAGCCATGGCCGACTTCCTCCACAAGAGAGATTCCACCATCAGCGTATCACGATTTACCATTGGCCGAGAACTGAAGCGACGAAGCTGGACGAAGAAGGTGACACGAAACGTCGCGAAAGAGCAGGACCGAGACCTTCGTGACGATTACATCGAACGACGATCCCACTACAAGCCCGAGCAGATGATATTTGTCGATGAAAGTGGATGTGACCGTGGCCTGGCGATTTTGGGAAGGGGCTACGCCCCGAAGGGCGTGACTCCAGTACAAGTGAAGCGATTCCATCGAGGAAAAAGGATACAGATGCTGCCAGCATACACAGTTGACGGCATCATGTACTCCGAGGTCTACGAGGAGAACACAGACCATCAGGTGTTTGAGGGCTTCACAGAAAGGCTTCTGCCGCTCTGTAGCAGATACCCGGGTCCCAGATCGGTCATATTCATGGATAACGCTTCGTTTCATTTCTCCCCAAAGATTGATGAGATGTTTGTACGAGCAGGTGTAGTAAGGGAGCTTCAACCGCCATACTCCCCTGACCTCAACCCAATCGAACCGTTCTTCGGCTCTGTCAAGAATCGCATTCGAAAGAGGGCACGGGAGGATGCTGATCTGATACGGGCTGACTACAAGGAATACCTCCGGATGCAGATCAGGATTGTTGGACGGGACAAGAAGATTGCCAGAGGTCACTTTAAAATGGCACAGATACCTATCGATGAAACGGTAGAATGGATGCTAGTGTGGAAATACAATTTGCCGCGAAATTATTCAGTCACTGGCTCCGAGCTCTTTTCGCGCGATCCTCCAGAAATTCCTTGACGCTGGTAACAAAACACCACGCAACCCCGTCCGGTATTCCGTGCTTGAGGTAAAAACGATGCATCTTCTTCTTGTTGGTGATAATCATGTTGAGATCGTAGCATTCCTTCAGCGTCAGTGCTCGAACTGTGTCGTAATGCTTCTTCTGCTCCTCGGTGCCGACCTGAGCTTGATGCCATGCGCTGTATTCCACGACCGCGTCTTCCCTGGGTAGGTTGAGCCGCATCAGGGGAGATGACGGGAAAATAAGGCTAGGATAATGTGGAAGGCTGGGTATGATGCCGTGTTCGGTTGCGCATCGAAGTAAAGGATTGGCCGTGCTGCCAGCAGCAGAGTCATCCGAATCCCTTCGCCTCCGCTTGCGTCTTCTGTCCTGCTCTTTCTGCACTCTTTCCTTCCGCTCGCGTTCGGCATCTACAACCATACGGCGAAACTCTTCAGGGACATCGTCGTGCCCATTCAGGGGTTTCCCTGCCTGCATATGATCGGCAAGCATCCTGACGTGATGAGGCCAAAGAGGAAAATGTTCTCCGTTGTACTGCCAGCAGTGCTCGGAGCCTTTTATACATGGCGGCCCCGGACAGCGCATTAGAAGATACGCCTTCCGGATGCATGCCCCTCGTTCGAGGCCAACAGTTCTGGCTTCTAAGACGAAATCAACTTCATGAGAAGCTATGACACCAACATCATGGGAAGATTCACTTGTCGCAACCATAAGTGCCAGACCTCGGGATGGGGCAGCAGGAAAATAGCCATTACCATCCGCCTATACCGACAGAGCACATACAATGCCAGGGTCTATCATCAAAGATGCGACGCGTACAACACGACATGTCGTCCCATCCTTGACGGCTCATACGCGGAAAGGGTCGCTTACCGTCTGAAGAAATGGTGCGGTGTTGACCTGACCCCACCGCCCATCACCCGCAATATTGCGAAGGCGCCACATCGGAGCGATCTGTGCATGGGGTACCGAGCGGGGCACTGCGTGGAGGGACGTGATGATTGATCGTTTCTCGCGCTCCCGGAATTGGTCGAAGGAGCGTGCTTTGTTTGAGGGATCCATGCCGCTTGTGGTGAATACATGCGATCTAAGTTCTTGGTTTTACCACCACCCGTGATTAGTGTCTTTGCCGCTGTTGCTCAGGCTTGGCTCAGTCAACGAGTACCTTTTATGCACGCTGTGAACAACAGACGAAAGGTCGAAATGGTTCTTTCAAAACGGTAGTTAGACCTGTTCCGATTTATAGTGGCTTAGGCAATTCCTTGCTTGATAATTGACTGCCTTGGATAGTCACTTGTCGCCAGATCTCGCTGACTCTTTCCCGCTGGGTCTTTGTCGTAGCAGTCTCTCGGACTTCGGGGAAGCGCCTGGTCATCGCACATTAGGCCAAGCGAACCCCTAACAGCGGATATACACTGTCCGTGCCCTTCACGATGGACGGTTCCCAGCACATTGTTGCAGCTTCGGGAAGCAAAGGCATGGGTCAACAGCCATCTGTGACCTCGACTCTAATCCTTTCACCACCGCATACTGGACAAGTACTCTAAAGCCGAGCTCATCTCTTTGTATCGTGCTTTGCGCATGGCAGGAATGCCACGAGGTATCGACAGATAGACTTAAACTAAGCTCCAAGAGTTTGGCTTTGTAGATGGTACCGAAACGATCATGAAAGGCTGCAGACATGGATTTCATGCGTATATCTCATTGTGGCTGTGTTGATGATTATTTCTAGGCCACCAGCCCGTGGGTGCACACTGGAATCCTTCGCGGCTGCCCTCACTCCCGCATTGAGAACCTCTATTCCTTGCTCGCTCAGTCCCAGGACGTCCCTAAAGAGCTTGTCAGTGAAGTCTTGGATGCCTTCAACGAAGTTTAATGTCGTAAAGACGCCACATTCCTTCAACCTGGCGTCTCTCGGCCAGTTGCGCACGGGCGACTTGAAGATCTGCTGCTTCACCTGCTGGAAACCGGCGTTCCCAACCCATTCTTTTGTGGAACGTGCGGGATTCATAGTCCGTCCAATCGTATCGCATGCTTCCACCAGGCCATTCATCAAGGCCACCAGAGATTTATCTGGCTTAAGGGAGTCGTCTTCTGTGTAGATCATGTTGTTTGAATCTTGGAGTTCTACCTAGCCTCCATCCAGGCTTCATATTATCAAAGATCTGCCTCACAGGCCGGCCATGAAATGCAGTGTAGTCGCATGGCTGAGACTCCACCCAGTCCTGCTCCACATCATCCACGGTGAACTTGATGTTGGGCGGGGTCCAATTGCGTTGGATAGGGCTCAGATTATTGCCAATGTTTAGTGCCGCCCCAGGATGCTCATCACCCAACAGCCCATATTCCGGTGCCCGTTCCGACATCGAGGACACGCTTTCCGTCAAGCTCTTGTCAGCCCCATGGCAGACATGATGACTTCACCATGCAGCGCAGACTAGCTGACCCCTGTACATGGTACACGATGATTGGATTTGCACTGTGCGGCCAGGCCGATGACAATTAAACCCAGTAGATGCACTAGCCCACCTTGCCCACCTAAGCGACCGCCTACACAGGGTGGGTTGGCCTCTCCTTCACTTGTGGCACGTGTTGATGCGAATTCCCCGCTGGCTGCCACTCTCGTAAGCAGCATGTGACGGAAACACGCCATCCGTCTATTGTTGGGTCTGTAGCTTCGAAAGTTGCAGCTGCAAAGAATGACTTCAAGAGGGCAGCCGCGGTAGAATCAGTCATGGCCAATACTCCAACGACGAAGGCTGCTGGGATGAAGCGCTGACCGACCCAGGGCTGCGGAAATCTTTAGTCAGCGCGCTTATATTATCAGTGACACAGCACACCTGGTCTACAATGGACGGCAATCCTAGTTCACTGTGGACGACACACCCAGTCCATGGTAGAGGACAAACCCGGCCCTCGATGGACGACACACGGAATGGACCGCAGGCACATTCAATTACTCAACCACGCTACTCGCCAGTAACAAGGTGCCCAGGCTCTCTTTCTCACAACAGGCGGCCCGCAAACCACTACTGCCCCAAGTGAGACAGGAGCAAAAGGGCGGACACCTTGGCCATCGCAAAGCCTAGCTAGCCAGCATATAAAAGGCTGTCGCTGCACTCGAGATGAGTGATACGTAGCGGAATTACTCTGGTTGGGCCGTAAGCCGCTCACAGTTCAATTAATACCGAGCTCGAACCATATGCATCTATATTCCTTCCATACGTGTGCCTCACTAGCACGATCGAGACTGAAGCAGAGGCGTTTCTATATACATTGACTAACTAGAATCCCCAAACGTGATACCGGAGTGCCGAAAGACACGAGAACTATATATAGGGCAGCCATAGCTTATACTCGTCTCAGATCGATAGCAGCAACGCGAAGGTTAGACTATACTATATAGGTTTTACATATCTAGCCTCGCTTATAATAATCTCTAAGGTCGGTCTAGGAATATAACCGGTCTCTATAATACTACCCTGCCCTCGCGTCGAGTTAGAGAATAGAGGCCTTTTCGTAAGAGTTTATTAACTAGTGGGTGGCATTAATACAGGGATAGGTAGTATGATAATACTATACTTCGTTAGCTGCTGAATCGCGAGCGAGATACTCGAAGCCTCTAGCGAGAACGTATAACTATAAGAGGTTTCGAGCGTACTAAAAGAACGACTAGACCACCCTAATAGATAGGAAAGCGCTATACTTATTAGATTCACGGCAACGTTAACGACTACTTGTAGCGCGTACTGGGTGGAGTTGGTAGAGTTTTGCGTACCCGATATGTAAACTCTCGATTCCCCACGGACTGCACTAAGGGCAGAGACCACGATAAAGTAGAATATCTAAGAAGCGTAGACTATTACGAGAGGCTTCAATATTAAAAGAGGGTAGTAGTCTAATACTACGGTAGTAGTAGTGGAGGTGCAGGGCGCAAACAATAGTACCGAAGCCTTTATATTATCTAATACTAGAATAGAAGTCCCGGTTCAGGTCTTCGTACAGCTCTTAAGTCCCTATATACGTCCTTTTACCGAAACTAGTTATACTATGAACGATAGTATCCCACAGTTATCTCGATACCTTACTCTATTCCTGCTCTAATATTTTCGTATTAGCTATTAGGGTAGTTAAGTTAATTCTAAGCCTAACCCGTAAATAGGCCTAGAAGTTTAAAACTTATAGAGATTAAACTATTTTCATCCGCTGTATCGCCGCTCGCTTCCTAGAATATAGATCCCGCGAGTCCTTTCTCTTTTAAGTAGGAGATCTTTTACCGAACGGAGCGCAGCGTATCGTATAAGATAAGCTCTCTTCTCTTAACGTTATAGCTAAATAACGCCATAGCTACGTCGTCGTACCCAGTAGTAGCCCTAAGCCGAGGAAGAGCCTTATAGTCCTATACGCCGTTTTCCCACGAGCCCCCGCCTATCCTAGAGAACGGCCTACCTAGTCTATTAGTATTCTAGAAGGTTCGACCGTATATAGGCATACTAAGAGCTATCTAAGAAGCGGGCACGCCTACCTTAAAGTAACCTGTAATAGCTTCGTCTATAGAGAAAGGCGTTATCGTTTTATTTATACTATTTAGGTAGAGGTTAGCCTAATAGGTAGCGTAGGAGTTCTATAAGCTAGAATAATTATATCCTATTAGATAGAACGTATCTATAATACCGGCGATCGTCTTAAGGTCGAGCTTCTTATAGTACGTAGGTCTAGCAGGTAATATAATCGTTAAGAGGAAGTAATAGCCTAGGGCGTACTATAATATATATATATTAAGCTCTTACTGTACTACTACTAGTAGAAGAATAAAGTTCTCTACCTCCTTTTTATCCGCCGGATACTCCTAGTCTATATTAATACTATCGAACCCCTAGTCCTTTATTAGAGATATAGAGGATTAGGCGAATACTAGTCGGCTAGTAGGCGTATTTACTACGACGGGGAAGTTAGCTAATAAGGTCTACCTGCCGATACTTAGTATAGTTTTTAGGTAGCGGTTAGACTTCTTTAGAAGGAAGAGCTGCTTAATATACCTATACGTATTCCTCCCGCTTTCGATCTAGGCTACTTAGCGATTAGCACTATACTATAATACTATAGGGTAACGTATAGTCTCCTAGATAATACTTCTCTAGGTCGGTATAGGTATCGATAGAATAGCTAAAGCTTTATTAATATAATTATTTTTTCTATAATATAGGCTAGCGACCTATACCTCTCCTAATAGCCGTATATCTAAGAAGGCGTATAGAATATATAAGAGTCTACTTATAGGGAGGTTCTAGGGGTAGTAGTCTCGCCTATATATTACCCTAATAGTTATTAATATACGAGGTAGTATACTAGCTAGTAACGCATCTAATAAACTAATTAGGAAAGTAGACTACGTTCTAATAGTAACTAATTAGTTTAATTATCGTATAAAGAATAGTAAGTATTAAAGAAGCCTTTATTTTATATACTAGGACGAAGAACTAGTAAGGTAATAGCTAGGTAGTATTATTAATAGTATTACTCTTTAGAGCGATACTACGTACCTAGTACGATATTACCTAGATAAAAGTACTATACTATATATAATATAGTACTACTTTATTTAAATTCCTAAATCTTAGACCCGAACTTATATTTCGATTAAGTCTACTCTACGGATAGCTATAAGTCTTTTTAAAAAAGACCTCACTCTTAGCCTCCCTAGTACCTCCTAATAATAATAGTCGCGCTATAGATACTAGAATTACCTATATAGAATTATATTATTAGTATTTTAGTAGATTTACTATATATATAGTAGAATAAGTAATATAGATACTACGTTAGGAGGTCGAATTAACCTATATAACTCTACTCTCTTCGTATTCGTATATACGTCGTAACGCTACTATAGTATATATTAACTATATATCTAAATACAGACTTCCTAAAAGAGGTATATATATAGTATATTACTATTAAATTAGTATAGTATTATTAGTAACCGATCCTCCTTTCTACTAGTACGGTATTAGAGATGGCTTCGTCTAGAGATTAACGGCTGGAGGCCCTAGTAAACTTAGACGCCTATAAGGCTAGTAGGTCTAGGCCTTCGTTTAATATACCTAGGAGGTATCTTCTAGTTCTACTTTACTTATATTTAGTATCTTATATCGATAATGAATAGCCTTTACCTCGGTATTAATATAGGTACGGTACTGCTTTTCTTATACGGAAGTCGCTTCGCCTAGGAGCTCTAGCTATAATCTAGTTATTTTAGGGCTACGTACCCTTTTAATACTTATTATCTTAATAGGTTTATAGCTAATAGAGTCGCGGATTAATAGGAGGTATCGTAGTAGATATAGGGCTCCCCTAATAAGGCTCTTAATAGTATCGTAATATAGTCGAGAGTATATAAATCGGTCTAGGGTATCTTCTATACCTAAATTTCTCTTTCTAAACGACCTACGCTTATAGTATAGGGAGTACTCCGTCCCTATAACCCGGTTATTCTTTATACTTTAGTTATGTATATTATACTTAAGTTATACTCTAGTATACGATCGACTATTGGACCGTACTAGGGGGTATACTACCTAGCGCGGGACGGTAAACGTTTTTATAGTAATAGGGAAATAACCTAAATCCGGCCCTAGTATTTCCCTATTAAAGGTCTTAGTAGGGACTTAGGACGCCGACCTATATCTAGGGTAGTAATCTATATATATTTCTAGCCCTATATTAGTTAGATTACTATATAGTTATAAGCACTCTATTATTACCTATAGTATAATACTAGAGTATCTTAGAATAAAGCCTCGTAGTCCTATAATATAGCTAGGGCTTAATAGCTATAAGAATAACTACGATCTTATAGTCTCGAATCGGCTTCGTCTCGTTATAAGCTATCTACCGCGACTAGATACGTAGCGGCCGAGCCTAGTTATACTAGTTAGCGGTAAAGCTAAATCGATTACGCTCTATACTATATTTAGTATAAGGATCGCGTAGTCCGCGACTAGGTCGCTA